AAAGCCACCATCTTCATTTTTTTATCAGCTTTCTACAGATGTAGGAAGAACCAGGCAAAATAGTGGGTGAGGGCAGGAAAAAAATAACCCTTTCATTTATGTTTATAAATAATGACAATCATCCTTCATATATTTAGCAATTTCCCTTTTGTATCACCATAAAATTACAATATGATGATAATCATTTGATTTTGTTGTCATATCTCAACTTTTCAAGGGTTACATATGGCCCTAGCAATTCAGATTATGTACTTCTATTCTCAGATTACAATACTGACTTTTTAGGAGGCTCTTCAACTTACTAAACTTGCATCAATAAAATTTATGATGTCGCTTAAAACATTCCTTTTGCCTGATTGAAAAAGTGATATTGCTTTCATTTTATACATACATAATAAAATCACAGCCCTAACCTGTATAGCTAGGTACTCTGAAGTGGTTTTCCAATCTCATCACAATTTAATAGTAATTTAAATAAAATCTTGCTGGAAATATAACATCTAGGCACAGTTTGAAAATTATGAAATCTGATGAGAATTACCCAGTGTCATAATTAAAGGAAGTTGGAAACAGGCACATATGACATATAAAGTGCCAGGATGTGATTTTTGACATCTGGAGATTCTTGAATTTTTGTTTGTTTAATGAGCTTATGTAAACTTCAGTGCTAAATAAGCAGTGAATATATCTAAATGGACTTTCCTATCCTAGCCAGGTTAGCACTACCTAGTATAATCTAAAACAGGAGACACAAATTACAGTATACAAATACTGTAGATTTTGAGAATACCATTTTTAGATCTTTCTCAGTGGCTCAGCCTTCATCCTTCCGAGGTCAGTAAAATGAGGACCCAGATTGTTGGGGACAATATGCTGACTCTGTAAACCACTTAGACAGAGCTATAAAAGCATTGTGAAGTGGTATATAAGTCTAAGTACTATTGCTAAGGTTTTGATAATTTAAATAGCAAGAATATTCTATAAAGTATCTTAGTGCTTTAAAAAAAAAATCAAACTATTGTCTCCCATCTTGCTAACCAGTTTGGCTACAGTAGTTGTTAGGGTATCAAAGAACTATGCAGGACAGATACCTGTGCCAGATGAAGAGGACTGATGATGGAAACATTAAAAAGGTGCATAAGAAAGATAACTATAGAGAAAGAAAACCGGAACATTAGGTGCCTGCTGCTACAGATAGCAAAACTTCACAAAGAATGAGGATTGGTAGAAGGCTATGGTAAAAGATAGAAGAGTACAATGAATCACAATCTCCTTCCCTGTCTGTGCCTTTGATTGTGGTATCTTCATGGCAATGATTAAGCTGATGCTTAATTAGTTAAATTTAATTGATGATTTATCAAATAAGGAAAATATTAAATACTTCAATGTTTTTTTAAAGTTTTCTTTCATGCTGAAGTTCAGTGTAACTCACTTTGGTATATCTATCAAGTATATAGACTTCAGTTCTTTGAATTCCCTAGCCTGCATGATTGCAATATTGCTGAAAATTCTGGAAGTTGAAGGTGACATACATCAGATAACACTGTTGTGGTAACAATACTCCTGAATCAGACTGAAGTCTATGTAGCACAGCATTCCGTTCCTCACAGCGGACAACCAGATTCCTCAATAAATAAAAGCATAACTTTCTGTTCCACTTGTGTCCTAGCAACTGTTAATTTAGAAGCATGATGTGCCTGAACTTGGAGATAGCATATAATCATCTTGACATGCAGCCATAAATTGTCTTAACCTCCATGAATTGGTCTAAACTCTTCAAAAATACTGCACAACTTAGCTATTACCTCGTGTGGCCACTAGCTCTGTTTTCTAATTTGTTTGGCTGTGTGAAATCTTCACTTAACAACTTTTTTAAATAAAATGTTAACTGCGGGCTAACAAAAGTTTGGAATAATTAAGGGAGACATTTCCGTCTTTCAAATGGCTAAGAATTTTTGCCGTTTCAGCTAAGTGAAGATTTAATTTGCAGATACAACTACTAAAATGTAGGACTCCTTTAAGTACGGTGTATCAGACCAGAATGCCAGTTTTGCTAAAACTGAATGCTACAAATTATTAAACAGGCTTCTGCATTCAGGAAATTAAAAAATGAAACTATAAATAATAATCATCATTCAGCAGAATCTATTATATAATATTTGGCTAATGTAGAGCTGTCAAATAATCGCTTGGTCTTTAGTAGTTAAATTTAGTAGGTTACAAGCTAACACAGAAATCAGAAGTACTCCACAATTTAAAAGCTAGCAGGTTCTTAAGTAATTGACAGTCAATGGGGAAATTAACACATTTACTACATGAGAAAGAGATGAAGAATTAATTCAAATAAAGGTGATGAAACAGGACATTTTGAGAGAATGTCAGTGAAAATGTGCATACCTATTCAGTTCCAGTTAGAAAAAGAAGAAAATTAAGTCAGTACAATACATGACAAGGTTTCCCGCCAAGAGAAGGAAATAAGGAATTCAAAGTAAGGTTAAAAGATATATGAGTGTCCTCTCCAAGCAAGCAATGTTAAGACCTCTTGCTTCTACAAAGAAAGCAGGATGTTTGAAGAAGCATCATTCATCATAGATAGTCTTTGACTGATGACTGGTGGTTGGGAGTTAATGTTTAGAACTTCTGACAGCTGCCTCCCTCCCTCGAGGCAGCAGCCTCGAATCTTCCAAGGAAAATATGGCTTCCAAGGCTGACACAGGCTCTAACTAACTCTATACCCGTGTTAAAGGGGAGCATTTTTGTCAGGAGCCCAACTTAATTTGGGAGTGATGGGTCATAGCTCTGGAAAGAACCTTGGAAGTGTTCTAGTCCAACCCGCAGCCCAAGGCAGAAGTCTTTATGTAGAATAAAGATAGAGAAGATTATGTTTTTACAAAAAAGCTAGAGGGGGAGGGATTAGGCAGGGGGGGAGGATTGCTGGATGAAGAAGGAGAAAAAGACAAAGAATTACCCTTCCTGGAAGCGCTGGGTGAGAAAATGAGCTCCAATAGAAATTGGCTTACCTTATTTTGGATGAAGGAAGAAGATTGTGAGAGAAGTGTGTCACACACCTTGCTTTCTTCCAACTCCTGGGTTATTATTTCTGTAAGGATTTAGCTAATAAAAAAGAAAATCAAAATTCCCCTACTGGCTCTTAGGAGATCATCAATAAGTTATTAAATAAAAAGAAGAAAAGGCAAATCTGGTTGTTATTTCTCGTATGTAGATTTAGGCCAAGGGAGAAGGAGATTCTTTAGTACTATGGAACAATGATGGATAGAATCTTTTAGTTGTTGCATTGCCCTGGCCTAACCAATAAATTTTACTGCAGTGACCAGATTTGGCAAAAGTCACAAAACATGGTAAACATGGAATACTGGAGTTACAGATTATTCTAATGTCTCAAAATGAATCCATGTCATTTATATCCAGCATGAGGACAATAAGATATTTTTCTATATATGTACATACACATATTTGTGTGTGTCCATGCAAATGCAGATACAGGCATACATAAATATTAATATTACTGTTTTGGCATAAATAAATCAACTGCAATTGCACAAAAATTAATGGAGGAGGGAAGATGAAATAGAGTTTGTGGTGATAGGGTGCTCACAGAACCACCTAACATGCTTGTGTTTTTAAAACAAATTTTGTCTTCTGCTATACCAAGCTGGAATGGTAAACATTCGCACAACCAATATATTACAGCATGATGGGGTTAAGTGCAAAAGAAAAAAAAATGTATGGAGTCTACACTCCAGGAAAGAAGCATCTTTCACCAAAAAGTATCAGCAGCTATTATCAGTTTGGCTAAAATATTATTGGTCGATGGCTTGGTCAGCAAGATCTACTTGAATCTGCTTTTGGTTTCTAATTCTTCCTGTTTCTAAGTAGCATTTGCTAAGAAAGGATATGGCCTTTTTTCTTTAAGGGCAAAGGGTTACTAAACCAAAAGACACCAGATAGGGGGTATTGGAAGGAGAGGGAAAAATATCATCCCTAGCACAAACTGCATTACAAAAACAATGATTAATGAACAGAAGCAGAAGTTTAAAGGTCATAATTCTAGAATGGCTTTCCTGCTGGCAGGAACAAAGATTGTCAAAGAAGCTGATAGAGCTTGATAGGATCTTTAGGCTCCTTCCTTTGTTTACCGAAAAGATTCAATGGAAGGGATGTTTGCACAATTTTGGTCACGTAAGTGGTTTGGAAGGTCATTCCTGGGTCACATTAATATCATTTTATTCTCTAATGCTACTAGAAATTGCTGAGCAAGGAAGGTCATAGAGGGCAATCCGCTTTTCTGCGAGACTAACGTCAATGTGCAAGCCATCCAGAACCTGTCTGCTAGCCTCCTTTTAGGGCATAATTGGTGCCAGTTTTTCTGTATAGGTGCTACTTGCTGCCAACAGAACTTTTGGCCTCATTTCTGGACCAAAATATTGTAGTTGCACAAATCTTGAATCAAATTGGAGTCAAATTGGGGTGGATGAAATTCAGGGAAGAGATGTAGATCAGCAACAACAAGACTAAGCAGTGTGATGTTTTGATAGCCTTTACCCATGCTCTTGGTGTTATGCAGAAAGATCTCGTTTTTATCTTTATACTTGCTTTTAAACCAGTCAACAAAAAACTCAAAATCTGATACCAGAAAAACTGTTCAAGCATAATTATTTAAGAAGCTTCAAGTCCTGCTTCCAACTCTTACTAAAACTATGTACAATTTGGGTATCATTTTGTCATAAAAAGAATCCAATGCTTTCTTCTGGCCAACAATAATTATCACAATTATCAAGATAGAGGAGACTGTTGGGGCATTTCAGTATGAGAGAAAGCATTTTAAAACATGAAATCTCATTTTCTCACTTTCTTCCTTGAGAAACTAACTTCCTTCATCAACGAGGGGCTCTTGAGATACGTTTGCTCCTGCAGTATATAATTATGTAGAAAAATACAGTATATTTTAAAATTGGACCATATACTGTGCTTCTTTATAGATGACTCCGCTAATTGATGAGGCATGCAATATCCTGCTGAATAACTTAAAGGTCTATGCAGAATCTGGTGCTGCTTTTGACATTCAAAGGTACTACAGGAGAATTTTATCATCATTGACTTGCCAAACTATCCTAAATATGTAATTATTTTGTGAATGTTTTAATTTTTCCTTTCCTTTTTTTGTTGTCAGTTATCATTTTCAAAAGTAGACAGGCAAGCATATATTTCTTCTATTGATTTGGTAATAATGATTTATTCAAAAACAGTAATAGTAACTCAAATGATGGGTCCTTGGGTATCCAAATCAATGAATGTCTATAATGTAATTTTAAAAAATTAGAAACGAAATAAACCCAAATTCTAACAACATTTGCATTTCATGAGAACCCGTAGGATAGTGCCCAGAATCACTTCAATAGTGAAATAGATAGTGTATAAATTTAATAAAAATAAATAAAAATAAGCCTAGATTATATAAACTCTCCTCTCTGCTTGCACAGTTACAAGTATGAGATCCAAAATACCTGTTTCCTGATTTTATTAACTTCAGGTTAACATTGTGGTGACCCTGGACTATGGTTTGTTGGAAGAAGTTGGATTGGTTATGTATTTATAAACAAAATATTGACTCTACATGTTAGCACAAGGATTTCAATGCTCTTGCTGCAGAAGGAAGGGACTTTAGCTATTTGTTGTTTATATCATTTTTTAATTTTTTAAAAGCAATTAATACTACTTTTTAATTTTAATTAAATTTTAATTTCATTTCGGTACCTAGTGACTGGCAACTGAATATGTAAAATGTTTTCATTGCCATTGACATCTTAAATAAGATCCATTCTGGAATTGTATTTGTGGTGTCACATTCATAAATGCAATTATCACTTGATCTGGGAGGCATCAAAAGATGAATCAACCATTTGAAAATTCTGTTTAGAGAAAGGAAGGACGAACTGATTTCCAGCTGTTCATCAGAATTTATTGTGATAATATGAGTGGTACTGCATTTAGAACCATGCATAAGAAACTGTGGTTTTCCATTTTATGGTTTTAAAGTATTGTATGGGATTTTTTTTTTTTTTTGCCATGAAACAAGAATTATAAATACAGTTTAAAAATCATCATTAAAAGAAGCTACATATCATCTGGCAAGTTGTTATAAATAACTCTTAATACTATGATATGAGTTTTAAATGGTTTGATGCAACCCCCCCCCTTCAAAAAAACAAATGCCTTGCAGCAAAAAAAATAAGATGTAATGAAAAAACAGCATGTTAACTTCCATGTTTTTGAATTTGTTGTAGGAACTATAGCTGCTTCATGTTGGATATTGTTGCAAGCATAGCTTTTGGTACCCATATTAATTCTCAGAAGACTCCTAATGACATTTTTGTTAAGTACACCAAAAGATTCTTTGAACCTTTAATATTTAAACCTCTTCTCATCCTTGCTGGTAAGTATATCTCACATTGGTGACTGCATCTATTCCTCCACATTTAATCCAAATGGATGATCAAAACATTTGAGAAATATCAGAAGAAACTAAGAAAGTTTCAAAAGCTGGAAAAACTTCTTAGCTCTTCTGTTGTTAGCTATGATGTGACTGCATGTCTATTTGTATTTGGAGATGCCTAAGCATCCTCTTAGTTGCTTTGCAAGGTGTCAAATCTCTGAGAAAGTTGGGAAACTTTTGGGAGATATCACATTTTCATAAAATCTTGTTATTTTCCCTTGATTTAATAACTGTAAAAAGTACAGAGGATGTGTCCAATGACCTTTGCTGCAAACAACCATTCTCCACATCTTTCTGTTCAATAGAGTGAAATTACATGTAATCCATTAATTTCCTGTTTCTATCATTCCTCAAATCCCATCCATATTTGGAGAAGAAGCTTTCTGGGATCTGAGGAATGCTTTCTACTTGTCTTCTTTCTTCTGCTCCAAAATAAATTACTGGGTACATGATATGGGTTAATTAAACTTGCAGGATCAAGATGGGCTGAGATCTGCAGATAATCCTTGGTTAATAACCATCCGTTCAGTGACTATTCAGTTTCTGATGGTGCTAAATGAATGGTACCGGTGCTTATGACTGTTCCTCAGAATTCTGGCTGTCCCAGCGCCCCTGTGGCCATCTGAATGCAATCTGGGCCTTTGGCGACCAGTTCTCAAGTATGACAGACAGTTGCAGGGACCCACAGTCACATGCAGGGGTGGGCTTCTGGGGATTTGCAGGAGTTTGAGAGAGCCCCCAGCTAAGATTCTGTGCAGTTCTGTGGTACACCCTGCCTACCCCTCCCGTTCCAAGAGTCCCCACACAGCCTGTTTTGGATGGAGGTAAGTGCAGGGTGCACACAGAGACTCGGGGAGGGTGAAAAATGGGCCTCCCGGAAGTTTTGGAAGGTTAGAAATGGGCCCGTTTCTGGCTTCCAGAGATCGGTTTTCATCCTTCCGGAGGCTCTAGGAAAGCCTCTGGAGCCCAGGGAGGGCAAAAATGACCCCCACCCGCTGTGGTGCAGGAGGCCGACTAAGCCACACTCACCATGGCCACGCCTACGCCCACCCAGCAACCAGGCAGAGAACCTGCTGCTAAAATTTTTGAAGCCCACCCCTGGTCACGTGGTCTTCATTGACAACTTTCCTTGCCAGCCTTCCACAAGCAAAGTTAATAGCAAAGGTTACTCAAGTTACTCCCACTGCTTTTTCTCTCAAGGAGCGTGGCTATGGGATACAAGATCCACAGGATTTTATACTGTGTAATGTGTGGCCACCTGCAGCACTCTTGCCTACCCACCTTGCTCTGTCCGTGAAATGAAGTGGCAGCCGGCAATGTAACCTCCCATCTGTGTTCATCTAGTGTGGCAGATGCCATCTGTACTCTCCCCCCTCTCCATGGCCATGTTCTGACCTCATTCACCCACCCACCAGCCTGTATACTAATCACTAAGGACTTGTAACTTCCTGCCAGCTTTTCTATTTACTTGGCTTCTTGGAAACCAGCAGGAAGATGCAAAGAGATCCTCTTTCATGACCCACAATTTTCACTTATTGATGACAACAAGGACTGCTGGCCATTGCTAAGCAACACAATCATGTGACATCATGCTTTCCACCTGCATCATTTAACGATGGAAATTCCAGTCTCCACTACCATCATTAAGCAAGGACTACCTGTTGTTCTTGAATGCCAACTTTTGAACTGATTCCCCCTACACCCCGGATTTGTCCTTATAGAGTTCTATCCCACCTTTAAGAATATTTTTATTAGTAGTACTGATTGGATGTAGCCGATATAAAATCATTAAAAAGAAAAGGGTATACCATCAAATACTGCAACTGTGTGACAAGTAGCATTATGCCACAAATTTAAATATTTGAAATAAACATAAAATAAAATATCTCTTTAACAATGCTACTTTATATTTTAATTAAAAAACATCAGTGGAAATGAACAGTGAATATCTACTATGTTGTTTTTTTGCAAGTGGTAATTTTGGTGGCTTTGTTGCTATAACTTCATTCTTGAATGTCCCAATTTCAGTGTAGCTAAAATATAATAACATCTTATTAATATTCTCATGGGAATATGCCTCCCATGGTGATTTACTTCCAAGTAAACTTTGAATCCATCTATATTACAATAGCCACTACGTAAAACAGAAATGCATTGTTCTTCACTTTAAAGTACTGACTGCTTACATAAGGAACACCAATTAAGCTTCAAATTTGTGCAGCGAACGTAAGTAAGATATTAGTAATAATACCAGCAAGATAGTTCCTATAAAGGACAAATATTTCAGGGCAAATTCCTCATATGAAAAGTCTTCTGACCTTCTGCTTCATGGTTCATTAATTAAATGGTACATCTCCACAAAATCTTGCCACAGCCATAAGGCAGGCCTTCTAATTGTTTCAAGACTCTGTAAATATTGTTTGTGAAAAATATATAGATATTAGTGAGTGATGCAGACTGGATTTCAGAGTAAGATGGGTATGAATTTGTAACCTCCCAATCGTGTTTTAGAACTATGATACATCACAACTTGTAGGGACTTTTTTTAAAGCCTTGTCATGCATTAAATGTGCTTCAGCATCTAATGCAGCAAAATCATTTTAGAGAATGTTATTAATTGGAACAACCTTTAATTTTTTTTTACTGAAAATATCTCACTTTTTAAAGAAGATAATCTAGATCATTAAAAAAAAAGTTAAAAAGGGAGAAAAGTAGATTTCTCAATTTAGAAGAATGAATAGACTGAAGTTAAGGGGTAATTGCATTAATTGATAATTGAACAACTGCTAATGTTGCTCTTTCAAAATTCTATTAAAGTTGCATTTCCATTTATAATGATCCCTCTACTTCGCATTTTGCCAAATAAGAAACGAGATGAAGTGAATGGATTTTTTATCAGTCTCATCAAGAATATGATTACCTTGAGAAACCAGCAGGATCCAAATGAGGTAAGGCATTTTATGTGTTGCTGGACCAGACTAGAGATCGGTTTAATTTCATTCTATATAACTAACAAGTTAGTCTTATTAGAGATATAATTCAACAGTTCAAAAATGAATTTATTTCACTTGGGCTTGTCTTAACATTGCTATATTTGGGTAGAAATTTATAGAATCGTGAGACTGATTCTACAGTAGTCATTCTGCTGTTATGGATACATATATGAATTAAACAATTAGCAGTAGTTGTAAATTTAAATAATGTTATGCTTATTAATATTTTAGAAATCATAATAAATATTGATATAAACTTTTTCTCTTTGTTTTTAAAGGTTTAAGTTATAACTTAAAACATTAAGAGTTTTAATAATCTCTATTCAACACTGCATAAAAACTATCCTACCTAAATAATATAATGTACCACTTATGTTCTACAATAATATAATAAAATAGCATTAAAAGAAAGAATCTATACATACTCCAAAGTTATATCCTTAATATAAAGAATCTATCAGAAACGTAAGGTGAACAGGATAATTGTGAGAACTATTGTACAGTATTGGATGGGCAAATTTGTGCTGGCATCACAGAAAAAGGTGATCCATACATTTTATCTTAATAATTGTTTTCTTGACAATTGGCCAAAGAAAAGGATTTTAAAGCATTTTGTTCTTTAAAGTGTATATATTTTTAGGCAATTTCTAGTTGTATTTGTTTTTCTGTGACTATTTCATATTATATTTGCAACAGTTATTTTTCTAATATACATGAAATGTAACTCGTATTTAACTTAATACACAAGCTTTTTTGTACATTAATATTGTTTGTTTCTTAACAATGTTAGCTACTGCTGGAAAACTCATAAACTGGGCATTAATTCAACAATCCTTTTCTGTTACTTTCTCTTCTCTCTTCTTCTGGCATTTAGAAGTATTCTGCCTCTGCCAATGATAGGAATGATAACTAAACTGGCATAGGACACTGTTCAAAATGCCATAGCTGCTCAATTTAATATTCTAAACAGTTCAGTTGATTGCTTTAACCTTGACTTCTAGATGTTTTTTTGCTCTTCTTGAAGTTCATTGCAAAAGGAAGTATGAAAAGACTACAAGAATATTTTTCTGGTGGTTAAAGGTCCTCATTAAAACTAGAATGAAAATTGCATTTCAAAGTTTAATAATTTCCAAAATTAGTATTTCATCCATTTAAAAATTGTTTTTCCACAAAGCATTTGCCCCCCCTCCATCTCTGTATATTCTCTGTTATTCCAGATATTTGTTTTATATTTATTGATTTTATTCTTGATCATATATTTGATCCTTGAATATTTATTTATTTTCTATTATCAATTTCTACAAGTAACTGAAGGTGGCAAACATATCCAACACACTTTCCTCCTCCTGTTCACCCCACAACAACAATCCTGTCTTGTGGTTGGACTGACAAAGAATGATTGGTCCAAGATCACCCATCTGGCTTTCCTGGCTAGGGCAGGACTAGAACTCACAATATGTCACTTTCTAGTCCGTTGCCTTAATCTCTAGACCAAACTGGCTCTAGTGTGCTATGTTGTCATTAGGGATTGATATTTTAGAGCACTGGGTGCTCTTTTTTTAAGATCTTTTTTCTTACATATTTTTATTTTTGCTGTGAATTCCTCAGAGTTATGTTGTACAAGATGGGATACCGTATTAATTTTCTTAAATAAATCAATCATATTAGAGGCCTTTCCTGCTTCCTTCTAGTTGCAAATCAAAATTCTTTTCTTCCAGTTAGCTGTTAATAGAAAGATAAATCCTTCTCAGACTCGATTATAATTATTGGTGTTGTGTTACATATAAAGCACCAAAGGCTTAATAGCAGCTGATTTCTGAAGCTAGTTGCTATTTTTTCCAAGATCAAAGGGAAAATATAACACATAGCAAGCAAAGCAATAATTGATATAGAAAAACTGGATTGCAAATCTGAGCTATAGGGACGGGGCAGGAGAAGACATAGAACCTTATCTGTAAAAGGTACTAGGTACAATTTTGGCATCTCGAAGTAGGGCTAGAAAATCTGCAACTGCTGTCCATCAGTGGTGAAAACAGGTTTAAGAAGTCTGACCAGTATAATTCTTGCAGCCATTTGTAATATTGTTCAGAGTGACTACGAAAGGGATGTCAAACATTGTTGGGTTTTGTTTGTATTCTGGAGGGAACAGCTAAAAGGTTGAGAAGGTCACCTCAAACAGCTGGTTTGCATTATCATGAAAAGACAGAAAACTCTTACTTTTAAAATTTGCTGTGTTAATTATTCAGTCAGGGAGGAGAGAATGTGCTTGTTGAATTTGTGTTTCAGATGCCAAAATAAATTGGCTTACATTAGATGTTCTGCATCTTGACGAGAAGGAAGAAAGTGGGAGCTTATTAACAGTAAATTGCCCCACATCCGTTTCTGAGCCTGATGGTAGAGCAGTCTGTTCCAGCCGAAGGTGTATATTTGCAGCATTGTCACAGCCTAGATGACATGCTTAAACCAGGACACTAAGTGGGTTAGGAATTTTTTTTGTTAACGTCATGTACTTTATTGTTTTTTTAAATGCAGTTTAATTACATCTTCCACCCATCATTCCAGTAGTACTGGCAGTGCTGAAAATGTATGTTTTGTAAATTGTTTTATGTGGATCTGTGTTAGCTTTAAAAGGCATGTTTCAGAAAGCTTAAATAAGCCAACACATTGCAGAAATCAGACCAGAATGTAGCCACTTCTGAAATTAACTTATTGAGACAAAGTTGCTTGTGTCCTCGTTGTTTCAGCAATATATATGTGTGAACCCCGCCCCCCGTAAATTTGCATGCAATATATTGCATTCCCAGAAATATATTTGCCCTCAACTCCCTCCCTTTCAAATTTCTTCAGAAGAGAAAAAAGAAGGCAGCAAGAATATTATGGCTGTGCAGATTTGTAAAATCTGCTTTCGAGAAAAGTAGCTAGTCTCTTTCTGTTTCCATGAAAGCTGAGCTTATGAAAGCAGAATTGCAAGAAGCTATATTTTGAAAAGCTGTATCTACAGAACAGGTACATTCTAAGGGGAAAGGAAGAAGAACTGGGTAATACTTCCAGAGAATTCTGGAATATGATGGAATCCTTATTGATTAATTGTTATTATATTAAGTGTAATTAGTTATCATTCTGCTTTTTTCCACATTAAGATGCATCCAGAGATTGTACAATAACTGCAAGTGATAAGAATCATTGTCATCCTCACCATCATCATTATAATCATCAACATCCTAAATCAGCCAAGATGCTATTAATGAGACTCCTACATAAGACCATTTCTATAGCTAATTTGGAAAAACAGATGGGAGGAAATATATGAACCAGGAAAATATGTTTACAGTAGCTGGACTGTTGGTTGACCTGGTAAAACCACTGTGAAAAAATTCTTTGATTAAAATAGCAGCTTTTAAATCATCATCATTGTATCAAAACTGCGATGGCTTGTAATATATATATACATTTTACAAACATTTGATTTGTTAAGCCTATTGTTTGCATAAGGCAGAAGAATGGAAAATGTTTTTCAGATAACGGCCATCATAAATTCTAAATGAGTTTCATAAAAGCTACAATCAAATGTAAACTAGCCCAAACAGGGAATTTCTAAAACACACAGTTCCTCCTTAGTTTTCCCACTGCTTCCTATCATGAAAATTGTCATGCAGATTAATAATTCATTGTTCTTGGTTCAGCCCTAGAGAAAAATCGACTGGAGGTGGCATTTCCATCTGAGTGGCTTTTTAAAAGCTTACAAAAAATGGAGCTGTGAATTTGTTTGCTTTGTAAACCCACCAACATACATAGGTTATGGTTAATTTGGTTAATTGGCTTTTTTTTTTTTTGCTGCAGATCAATGTAAAAGCAACCTAATGGAAATGTAAACCTAAGGAGTAACTACTGAGATGCATGGAGAATTTTGCCAACTCATTCAAACAAGGCATATAGGAAGAAGCAAAATGTTTACAAATTATATGAGAGATAAGATTTCACTTTTAACCAGAGCCAGTTTTACTATTAAATATTGCAGATATTTAGAGGCAGGTAAAGGACAATGTAAATGTTCCCCTCACATGTATGCTAGTCATTTCTGGCTCTAGGGGGCGGTACTCATCTCCGTTACAAAGCCGATGAGCCAGCTCTGTCCAAAGACATCTCCATGGTCATTGGCCATCATGACTAAATGCCGAAGGTGTACGGAATGCTGTTACCTTCCCACCAAAGTGGTCCCTATTTTTCTACTTCCATTTTTACATGCTTTCAAACTGCTAGGTTGGCAGAAGCTGGGACAAGTAACGGGAGCTCACTCCAATACGTAGCGCTAGGGAGTTGAACCACTGAACTGCTGACCTTTCTGATTGACAAACTCAGTGTCTTAGCCACTGAGCCACCACGTCCCTTTTGGGCAGATTATGGTGGAAATTGCCAGAAAGAGGTATGTTTGCCTCAATTACTTCCAAGCTAGTTTGATGCCCTCACAAGAAGAATGAGATACTGACACGGTTTATAAAGATCCAATGACCACTTCCTCTATTAGATTCAACACAAGAATCCATTTTGGCAGAAAGAATGAAACAGAGAGGTACCATCTTTCTTTCTTCCTCTAGCTGCAAAAGATCGTGGAATAACCTTTCAAATTTGGGCTTGCTATGGTTCTTTTTCTCATCTTTCCTCTTTCCTGATTATTATGCAGTGTATTCCTTATAATAGAAGCAGATGGTCAGATTTACAAAAGAATGTCCTGGTTTGCATAGCCTGCTATGCTCTAATGTGTTTGTTTGGGTTTGTCTTACAATATCATATGAATATGGCTATTTTGGGTTGTAAACTTGATTGATATATAAATACACTCAATTGTGACATAATAAACCATAATTAATAATATATAAATTTAGTGAGGAAGAAATAGCAGTTGGTTAGACATTAAGATAATGTAATGTTTATAAGTCGTCTTTGAAAAATTATGA